AATAATTCGTGGTCCTGTCCGCAAACATTTAGCCTTGAACTGGTTAAAGAATGAATTCAAGCCCCTGTTAATAACCGAATTGATCTTTAACAGTTTTATCCAAATTTAACCCTTTACTGGCGTAGAAAAATTCATCTGAAAAAACGTTTGTTAATTTTGATTTGTACCTTACTGATGCTAAAAAAATTGTTTGACTTTTATATAATAAATAATTACTACTAAAAATAAAAAAAATTATTTAATTCTTTTCTCTTATATAGCTATTTGAATTAATAATAAACTACACCTTTCTTTATCATATTAAACATTCAAGTCTAACCACTATCAATTTCTTCCGTTCCTGGTTTTGCGCGACAGCTATCTAATTTAGTAATGACGCATAACATTTTCACAATTTGACGTAATTTATCATGACAATATGCTCGTCATGTTTATGTAACTGAAAGTGATGTGGAAATTATAGCAAATGTCCTTGGTGGAAATAGGCGTTCCCTTTTTTATTATTTATTCAAGGAATGTATTTGGTGGTACTCACTAATACTATGAGCTTGCCATCTTGAAAATTATAGGTTAGATGTTCGTAATTATTATTAGTCGATCTTTTATTGTTACGAGTTAGGCATGTAAGGTTTTGTATGACACCTACTTTCTTAACGAAAGTGTGTTATTTAGTGGTACAACAGGATAATCAGGGGCACCAGTGGTTCAAGTTCATTTGTTGAGTACCAATTGTCAAGAACCCCAAATTTGCAGACGAATTGGTAAGAATCACGGTTAAGCTTCTTTTGAAGAACTTTGCACGGTAGAGATCTTTGATCCACCTTTAATTTATCATTTGTGAGAATTCGAATTTTTAATAAATCACCAGGTTTGTATGTTCGAATTCGTTTTGTTTTAACTTTGCTTCCATTAAGTTTTTAATAATTTCACAGTTTCTTTTAATATTTAAAATAGCCAATGCAATTTAAATTTGTTTAACTACATAAATTTATTTATTAACACACATACTTGAACGTGATTTAGGAAACCTTCAGAAACAATAGGGCGCATTGTGGAACTCTTAGAGAGTAACACACACTTTGCATTCACTAATCACATTCCCAACTAACTGCTCGGAACATTGTTATTTTTATTTTTAAAAAAACAAACATGAATTTAAACAAACATGAATTTACCTTTTTTCAGTTTTTTTTTCATGGCCGTCGTGCTCAGTTGCTTGATGGGCAGCACAAATTACTTCGTAATTTTTTTTTTGATATAACAGACGTTATTCTTATCTTGTTTAAGCAGATGCAGTTCTTCTGCTGCACCAAGACGATGAATTTTAAAAATATTAAGATCTGGATTTTTAGTACATTTAAGCATTCATTATAACGACTTCTATCTATCAAGCTTCGTTGTTTTCCTTTTGTTAATGAATTTCTCTAATATACGGTTAAAGGTTCACGGGTCATAACGTTACATTCTTGCGAATCCATGAGTGTTGAAAGAAAATATGCAATAAAAATGGTAAAAGTCGATTTATACATAATGAATAAAAAAAAATAAAGCATTCGACAATAAAAGAAAAATATCAATGTAAATATTATTCATTGATAAAATACGTAATTACGGTATTACTATCGTTATTAATAAATTGCATAATACATAATTGCAGTAGTTTATTAGATTGCTGTAAGTCTCATGATCGGCATAACAAATCGAGCTTGGGCCATTTCACGATCGGTGAAAATCGAGAAATAGATCGACCGAACACTAGCCTCATGCAAGTCGGCCTGCTTAATGCAGTGTGGGAAACCACTGAATATCATTACACATCACGAATTCAGATGACGACGGTGACGCTCGGCGCAATTATAGTTGTTATTTCTGGGATCATGTCCCGTCTCAGTTTTTTTTACATCAACTGCACATTCTCAATAAAAAGAATCATTTAATATCCGCTTTTCGATAATTTTATTAGAAATGTTAATGATCTTCATTACATGACATCACATAATTTTTTACTTGGACTATTATAATTGTTTACGGAATCTTCCGTCTTGTCGGGCTATTTTATGGCCACATTATATTACTGAAAAATGTCTAGATCCCTTTAAGGTAAAATTACCGAATTGCATCATTACAGAAATTTTGCAAACGTTAAATATACCTATATATGTATATAATTTCCAGTGCTAAGATTTTTGGATCCTCTGATATACCAAAAATTAAAGCAGATTTTTCTTTTTTTGGCACATTCTTTTACAAAACGTAAAGTCAATTAAATAAATATCTAGTTATTCAAATGATTAATTAAAAAATTATTATAAATAAAATATTATAAAAAGGTCGAAATTATTAAAGAAAATGCTCATGTTAAAAAGCTAGACCAATAAGAATTGCTATATCAATTTATTATAACAAAATAGAAATAATGAATAAACATTTTAAAATATTTATTATTAATTTTTTATTATTTTTCGCAGTTCATTTTACAGGAGCTAATTTCAATGAGAATGGCACTAGACCTATAACTGATGCTGAAGTGGAAATACTACAACGATTTGCTCATTATTCTATCCTAGCATTCGATAAATCAATACAAGATGTAGTGAAATGGACTTTTAAAGACTGTAAAGACATTTCTAAAGATCCTAAAAACATTGAAGTTAAACCCGTAAGTGTTTCATATATTGTTAATTATCTTTCATCTTTACAATTTATTAATAAATCTCGTCATTTAATTTAATTTCTTTTTATAAAACTTTTTGCCACTATCATGTAAGTTAATGATTCATTTTAACTGTTAAGTTATCTGTAAATGTTAATGCTTATTTTATTTTTTAGAGATCCCAATCGGAAATACTATTAATTTTCTGGCATATATAATCGTTAATAAGCAGACTAAAGAAATTGTTATCACCTTCCGAGGATCAGATTTTAATGATCCTACAAATATCATAGCAGACATGAGATCATTTAATCTAGTTAAATATAAATTTAAAGGTTACCAACCATCAAGCTCTAACGAAGATATCCTTGTTAGTGAGGGATTTTTTACCACTTGGCAATTGTTTCATTCATCAAACCTTACGAACGAATTAACTTCCTTAATGAAAAAATATCCAAGCTTTAACGTTTCGGCAACTGGTCACAGTTTAGGTGGAGGTAAAAAATATATATATTTATTTATTTTATTTTATTTACTTTTATAATTTAGCTGCCTTTATTTCAAATTTTATTATAGCTTTAGGATTATTTCAACATACCACGTGGAGGAAATGAATTATTTGCTAATTATGTTAATAAAGAATTGGTAAGTCTAATGCGAATTGTGTTAATATTCTTTTTAATTTGGGTATATAAGTTGTAAGTGTGAATGAAATTTGGAATTTCTAGATCAAGGTATAGGAGTTTATACGTATAAAATAAATTTATCCTACAGTATTTGGCTAATAAATTCCAAATCTTCCAAATCCGCTAAAATTTCATTTCCACTTACAATATATATATATATATATATATGTATATGAGTTGTCAAAAAGAAAACTAGCTTTCAGCTTTTAAATTTTATCTTATCAGATTCATCCAACCAGTCTAACCAGAGTCAATATTATCAGATTTTAGGGTGACTGACTCTGATAAGTTATAAATTAAAAGTTTGATTTTTCCTTCATGCATCAGTGTCGCAGATTAAAATATGGAATTCACTTGACAAGATGCTGTGTATGGCTACTTTATTAGTCTCAATATTTAACTATTTGAAAATAATTACTTTTGACAATAAAAAAATTTTGTGGCACTCGCGTAACGGATCATCGAAGGATACCATAAAGTTGGTATCCAGCGGCGATACCGGATAATCTATCAACTCCCAAATTTCTAATTATGTCAAATTTTTGTAAATAGGATTGTATATACCGTGTCGTTTCAGGAGGTGATTTATTTTCTAGGGTTCCTCCTCGTCCAAAATGGGTACAACCGAAAGG